GCCGAGCGGTTTCGAAGAAACCGAAGCCGACGCAGCAACATGATCTTCCATCTCCAGGCGCTGGCGGTGCGCTCTCGGGTGGCCATGGTGGCGCGATTTTGATGGACGTGGACGAGGAGGAAGGTACGGCGGCAGCAGACGAGGACGTCAACGACGAGGACTGGGGCGATGAGGATCCCAGCGGTGCACACAGCAGTGGTGGAGGTCAGTCGATATTGAGCGTACGACGAGGGGATGGTGGACTACCTCAAGGACCGCGAACTCAAAGAGTGGAACATGCACCGAGAAGCCACCCAGAGAGGGGATGCCGTCGTGGAGGCAACGGGAGGGCGCAAAACACAAGCGGAAAAGGACGCCGCGGCGGCGCAGGCGTTGGCGGCTTCGCAGGAATGCCGAACCTTCTCCGTCAGGAGGGCGAAAAGGACATTCAAGAAGTGGAAGCAGGAAAANGGGCCATGGAGCAGGAGGGAGAGGAAAAAGAGGCCGAGAACGATGCGTAGTGATGTGTCTTTTAGTGCTGCACAAAATTTTGCTTAACAGCTTGGCCGAGGTTTGTTGTGTTGTGTGCTTGGTGCGTGTTTCCCTTTCTTCGTGCCGATCTTGTATACGGAGGATTAGCAATATAGATACAGCAGTAGTAAACAATACTGCTTTATGAATATTTTCGTCTGTGTGTGCAGAGATTCGTCAAAGTTATATAGAAGTGATTGTATTTCTCCCCATGGGTGTCGTCGACCAACTCTTCTTCCTGCTGTCTGTACAAATCCAATCACGTGGTGTCCGTAGTGTACAAAAGCAGGCACTGAGAAGGGTGGTGGGCGTCCCTGGGGGAAGGTTAGGGGGCTCCGTGGATGAATTTGGGGGATGTATGTCGTGTTTAGGGGGCTCCGTGGACGACTTTCGCCAAAAATGTTGCATATCGCCGAAATTAAAAAAACTCTGCAGCTATCTACGTATCTCGATGAGGCGGTCACGACTATCGTTGTTTCACGTTCCCATTCTTTCTCGAAAAGNCGACTTTCGCCAAAAATGTTGCATATCGCCGAAATTAAAAAAACTCTGCAGCTATCTACGTATCTCGATGAGGCGGTCACGACTATCGTTGTTTCACGTTCCCATTCTTTCTCGAAAAGAAGTTATCGCACAAAACGTAACTGGACAAATTGTTGTGCACGGACCGTATCTGGGATTTATGTTGTTTGATGTTTAAGGTGACCACCTTGTACTACGGTTCCCCAAGCAGCATACAGCAATATCTCCCCTGTCGCTAACAGGATCGACAAAACAGTTATTATTAATAGGTGGCTATTTTGTATTATCTGCCGTCTCGTTGATTCTTCTTGTTCTACTACTAGTCTACTGCTGTTGTATGTGTTTGTTTTTGTTTGTATATGTGCTACATATGTACACCATCAAAGCATCACTCAAACTAACTATACTGACCGCTGGGTCAATCGCAACCTCGAACAGCACCATCCACCCGTCGCATTGGGCCCATCGACGCACCACAGACAAGTCTGAGCGTGCAGCCACACAGAGTTATCTGCCATGTCAAGTGCAAAGTGCGGGCATACAGACGAGTTTGCCGCTCCCTGTGCCGTGGTTCTCTTCTTTCTCATTTTCGCTGAATATCTTTGCTACAAGCATAACAGAGACATGTATTGTTTCATTGTAGCACGAATACAGTAGTTTGCAGAGTCACGGGGGTATACCCGACGAGTTGTTGGACTTCGTCGGGGCGCGGACGGTGTCGTTGCAAACCAGCACACACAGGATGAAACAACCTCGAAGGGTAGGAAAACTTTCTTCAAAAGCTTGTGATCGATCACGGCATCGCTGCCCCCTTCTGCACTAGTTCGTCCTCACATTCTTCACAGCGCTCGAAGCGTTGGACGGAACGCTGCAGCAGCCCTCTCGTTGTCGGACAACTGGCTCGGGAACAATGACGCCCCTGGTCGGGTGCTGCCGGTGCTCGACCATGGTGACGAGATAAGGAGTGAGCTATGAAGGACGGCGAAGGCGACAACGTCTATGGGGTGGAGATTGGGGGTAAGGGATGGCAGGTAGTGTACTGTCTACGGCCTCGAGCAGCTACGACTTGGTCGAAGATGGGAGTGGAAAATGGTGGAAAAGCTTGTGCAGGCTGTCGGCCTGTCGGCCGTCGGCGCTGTCGGGCTAATCTTGTACCAAATCTCTACCCAATCTACCAAATCTACCAAACGAACGGTCCCGGATCGAGGTGACCCTTTTCCAAGAAATTGATGAACGGCTACATTTTTTTTGTGATGTACAACAAGGATGTCACGAAGATCTTCGCTTCCTCCCCAGTCTCGTTCCCTCCTCTCTCTTCACTTCGTCGGGAACCGCCCTCAATACCCCACTTCATCATCCCCTGCTTGTAGGGTATGGGCCTACAGCAATAAAAAATCAACACCACGTCGAGTCCCGCCTGCATCTATCTGCTGCTGGCGCGTGCTGCTGCTGCTGCAAAACCGTCTCCAGACGGTTTCAATCCACTTACTTACTGAAAAGACCTCACCACATTCCTTTCCACTGAGGTTATATCTCGAACGGGTAGCCTTTCTGTGGGGTTATGTTTAAATTCTAAAAAACCGGGAGCATTGTAGATACAACGTGCAGTGTTCGGCGACCATTTTCGAGAGCTGTTGAGGGGGGTGAGAATCGTGGAAAATCGCGCCAGCGCGCATCTACAACGTGCAGTGTTCGGCGACCATTTTCGAGAGCTGTTGAGGGGGGTGAGAATCGTGGAAAATCGCGCCAGCGCGCATCTACAACGTGCAGTGTTCGGCGACCATTTTCGAGAGCTGTTGAGGGGGGTGAGAATCGTGGAAAATCGCGCCAGCGCGCATCTACAACGTGCAGTGTTCGGCGACCATTTTCGAGAGCTGTTGAGGGGGGTGAATATCGTGGAAAATCGCGCCACAGCGTCATGCGCGCACCACGCTTGATTTGGAAGAAGTGGAATGTGAATCATGCATGTGTTCATTGAGTGTGTATGTAGCATCCACCGCGACAACCGGCTGACAAATGAAAAGACGTCAGTTTCAGTTCGTGCTTTTGAAAACAGAAATCCTGTACATGCTTCTACAGGTATTTTCTTAAGTAAAAAGAAGTCATTCCACCCCCCCCATCTATTTAGGAGAATAGCACAATTGCAGTTTGTGTTACATTAGTCTACAGTCGACGAAGTCTAGGGAAATACAGGTAACCATGCCGAGCAGTCGGTCTGAAAAGAAACACACACATTGCTACGGCATCACGCCTGTCTATAAAATCCGGAGAGTAGTGTAGACTTCCCCATGACGCTCGGTCACAGGGTCCCAGATCGTGGCCTACCTGTAGGCTCGTGCGTATGTTGTCATTGGTGGAAGGACGTTGACTGGAGATGATCACGCAGGAGACCACGTGATGAAAGAAGGGCGTGTACTTGAGAACGGAGGAGACGGCGTCACTAACTGCCTCAGAATGAATCTCCGCCCGCCCCCCAACACGAAATGCACTAAGCCAAACATAGGGAGAGATATAGTGTCATCACCCAGCGCGACTACCACCATTATCCAGCCCTTCTGGTTGTTGACCTGTGTCGGTGAGGACGACCTTGAAGCCTGCGACTGCGGCAGGCGGGCTTGTAGAAGAGTTCTAGTCGGTCTACATAGATGGCCGAAAAACGTCGAGGAGGTAGGCTACGTACAACCAGGAGCCTGTCAGGGCGTCCTGCTTCCCCGAAGCGCGTATTCTGTTCGTGGGTCTGCGAACATTGTTGTTGGATACATGTGCTGGATGATTTTGTGTCACGCAGACTGGTAGGATTACCGTTTGGTAGGGGGCACCGCGATGATTTACGGGGCCCATCCTTGCTGTGGGAGCCGCTCTTTGAGCACTCCCTCTTTCGTCCGTGTGAAGGACGGTCGTCGACCTCTCGTGAAGTTAGTACATCACCAAAACAGTCTCACCCGATAAATAAGTGGCGTAGGCCGCAAACACTCTAGAGTTTGCCCCTCGAGGGAAGCCACATCGGGATGAGCTCTGCTGGAGACGAAGAGCGCGCTGCTGCGAGCGGAGAACAGATCCGCCCGCCAGTGCAGGAGGGCCGCGACGCGGAGCTTGCAAGTTTGCAACGGCAGATTTCGCAATTGGCGGCCCTGGTGGAGGAGTCGGTGAAGAAGAAGGAGCCTGGCAGCGTCGTGGCGGATGCAGCCAGTAGGGGTGGCTGGGTTGCTGCCCCCAGAGGCCAACGAGAAGAGCCCACGCTGCCGCTCGGCGGTGGCGGGGGATTTCTCCAGCAGCAAACGAGAGATAGTGGGCAAGGACCACGGCCGCTGCTGGAAGGCGGCTGGGCCAGCAGATCGGGAGCGAACCCTGTTGGACCAGCCGGAGTGGGCCCGGGCATAGGACCGGACTACGGGGAAGCGAGGGGGTTAAACCCCCCAGGTGAGATACCCGTGATTCGAGGAAATGGAGAATTCCTCGACTGCTACAGCAGTAGCCACATGAAGAGGGTGACAGTCAATGCCCCGCTTCTAGACGAAAAAAGCCGTAGCCACGGATTTGGCTCGCGGCGCAAATCGTTCATCCAGGCTGCGAAGACCATCGACTTGGACGGGCAGTTCATAGGAGATGCAGAGAGCAGTATCCCCGTGGGCGACCCAAACTTGCCCACTTCCGAACTGCTCCGTAGGGGGTACACGAGAGCAGAAGTCCAACGGGGGCTTCAGGCGTTCCACTTTATCACTACTGCTGTGGTAAAAGAAGCTGACAAAGCAATTATCAGCAACTGTACGTCAGCGAAAGAGGTCCTTGCGGAATTGGAAAAGGTCTACGACCCGGAGTCACAGGGTTTAAAACAGACCTTGATGCGGAAGATGTTTGACTTTGCAATCCCCACACACAGCAACAGCAACCCCATCGAGCACCTCTACTC